ATTGGTGAATTTGGATCGCGTAAGTTATTCGAATCCTTCCTAAACAATTGAGAAACTAGGCTTTCTAATAAAAAGCTCAAAAGCAATCGAAACGATATAAATGCTTGTAAGAAATCTTTGTATGATCAAGAATGCCCATTCCTTTTCAAGAGAATTACACTTATATTATACAAAAAGTCGGTTCAATGATCCCTAAGAAAATATGGAAAATCTCTTTTATTTCAATTAATGTTATGAGTGACAAAATAAAAATGTCATAATTTCGGGATTTTTTTTCTTCTTTTGAATATTAAGAGTTTATAGGGGTACTTTCCAATGGTGTCTGGTTTAGTATCCACCTAGAAACTCGATTCAGATATGTTAATTCATAAAAAAAAATTTGCTTTTTTTGAATTTGCCATAACACTCGTTTTTCTTTTTCTTGCTGGTCGTATTTCAATATTTCCTTTCCTCTTTACAAAAGTATCGACGCTTATTTTCTTATTTCTTTTGCGAGGTACTTTCTCTAAAGACCAGAAGCGACATGGAAGAAGTTGAAGACCCTTACGAAGCCTTAGAATCTGATTGGAGTCAAGAGGAAGACTTGAACCAAGGCTTGYCWRATGAAGAGGCTGAACMTGWGGAAACCCCATGGTATGAGGATTACTCGGAGTCTGATTTCAATGATGAACCGGGCGGAGAAGACTTCGAACTAGAGCCACCAGACCATGGCATATACAACACAAGTCATCAAAGTTGGTACGAAGAAGAAACTAACCAGGAAGATGAGTCATGGCGCAATGAAACTGATTCTGAAATCAGTTATGAGGATGAACCAKATCGTMGTAAGGAAGAATMTGAGTTTGAAGRTGACTACKAAGAAGAGGCTAACCAARMGCGTGAGGATAGAGAACCGTATGAAGAMTCACGGAYTRAAGATGGAGATTCTCAAAATAGATATGGAGAAGAGCAATGGCGTGAGGAAGAAGAAATCATCTATGACGAATATGAAAGATAATCACAATTTAGCCTAGGAGAAGATTATTTCAGCAATGAGACATACCCCGGAGAACTCAATCATGATGGAGAGACATCCAACAAAGATAAACGATGGTGTGAAGAGAAGAATTCTCAAGATAGCCTAGAAGGCACCGAGCAATATGGTGAAGAAACTTGGCACCATGAGGCTGAATCTGAGGCAAGCTTTGAAGGTGAATCATATTATGGAGAAGAAGATCACGAACCAAGGTACATCACCTTTTCAGGTCATGGCCACGGGCCTAAGGCGTGTTCGAGATGGGTGAGAGATATGGAAGAATGGTTTTCATCTAGCCAAATCTCCGAGGAAGAGAAGATTAATTGTGCAGAGACTCTGACCGAAGATGCCTTTAGGCATTGGGATCGAGATGCATACCAGCAACTTGAGTATGATGAAACAGCTGCCACTTGGGAGGAGATGAAGCAGCTCATAAGTGATGAGTTCGTTAGAGATGTTGACAACATGTGTCAATATTACTCACGAATATACACCAATCTTGAGCCAACAAGATGGATCCTAGCCACTAGTCCAAAACCGAAGGCTACACCTAAGAGATATTGCAGTCCTAAGCCAAAGAAAGTGTCAACACACGTTCTAAAGGAGAGACCAAAGTCAACAATTCAAGCAAAGGATGACACTCTAAAACCAGTTAATCAAGTCGTGCCTCAAAAGCCAAGTCCATCGGCGTGAACAGCAAGTAAAAGAAACTCCAA